GATTATTACATGGCGTTCTCGTGCTTGTCAAGGTGAACAATATTGTTATATAAGCTTATTGTGTAGCGTTTTCTTTTGTGGGGGATTGTTTTATTCATTTGTATTAGTTTCCTATTGTGTTGATTTGGAAAAATATACTTTTTTGATGGATGATGTTTTTAGAAAGCAGTACCAGGAACGGTCATCGTATACCACATAAATTTTAGGCGACTGATGAATTAAAAAAAAGTTGTATGTGCACTATTTGAATAATACATATTTGAAGTGAAACTTCTTCTCACTTCCGTCTGTCTGTCTGTCAGTTACCTTTAACGTTTCTTACGTCAAAACTAACTGTCATAGTGACACGTATTGTACACGGTCAAGTTTTCCTTGGTCCAATCTATCAACATACCAAATTTCATTTAAATCGGTCGATTTTTTGATTTGATTCATTGGTGATGGGGTTTCATATTGCACAAAACGTCGTCAAAACATCATGAAAAGATAGGGCTCTTAGAGCTCGCGTTACGACGCGACGCTTCAAAGACCCATCTCAACTTCCTCATCGACTTACCACTTTTTTTTCTCGCTATATAGCTCATGTATCAAGCCTGTGTCGTGTGATGGTCTTGAATTTTTACTTCCATCGCGTCTAAAGAAGTTTCACTTCAAAAATGGAGTTGATCAATTAACAAACTAATTATTAAAAAAATATTAGCAATCAGTAAGTAAGAGTTAAAATAAGAAAAACATGTATTGTTAACAATTTTCTAAAAGCAAACAGAATATGATAAATATTTCCCTAAATTCTTATTATAAAGATAGATAATTAAGATATTCTAACTTCCTATTTTATACGTTTTGTCTTGTCTTAGAAATGTACAAGCTGCAGTGCGCTATCTTGGTAGAAGCAGGTGTCACAGTACACCGTAACCATCAAGCAGAACGATAACAAAAAAGAGGAGACGCATTTACATTATCTAGGTACAAAATCAGACCGACAATTTAGTATCTTAAATTGACGTAATTTATATTTGATAAGAATAATAATAATAATGAGCTATAAATAAGATATCCTTAATTGTTCTTCAACCAAAGTAAATTTATACAAAAAAACTTGTAAAACTATGAAATTTCCTATAATAAACACTAAAAATTATTAATGAAATATAAATCAAATCAAAGAAAATCTGAAACATTTTCAATAATAAAGGAGGCCTAGAATTATACCATAATTTTATTATAATATTCTAAAATATAGATATAAAATGCGCCAAGACATCATAGAAATAAAGGCAACTTGAATATGGTTTTAAGCATTTGTTATTAACTCCAACATATTTCAATAAAAAGTTAACAAGCCTATATCGCCATATCACCAGAACTATTCTTAAACATTATAAAATAGCTTTTAAATAAATAATAAAATTAATTTATTTTTTTCTGGGAACAACAAACGACTATAATTTGTTGACGAGATCGTAAACATATCCAATAATTTTAAGCAAAAAAATGCACGAAGAACTGAGAGAAGCCTCCAAGAAGATGTGTCAGGGGATGTTAATGAACCAACACAATTGATGATAAATTTAGTTAGGTACTTCCGATTATCTAACAGTCAACGAGACATAGGAAGATCAAGTAAATATTATATAAAAACAAATATCTTATGGAACATACATTAAGAATTGGTGGACAAAATCAAACTTTTGAAATTGAACGATGAACTAGTTTGGTATAGACAATTTTTGGAAAGCTGTGGCATATTGTGAAGGATGAATCTCTGAATCTCTCCTGTGATTACTTATAGTTCTGGAACGCCTACCTTTCCTTAAAGAAATATGGAAAGAAATATGCTCGACATGTCCCAACAAGATAGAATATTTAATCAGGAAAAGAGTGAATTTGTCAATACAATGGTGGGCAAAATCATGAGAATGAAATGGAGATGAGTGGCCATCCAGATTGGATAAGAGATATAGATGTCGACCACCTGCGGAGAGGGAAATTAATCACTGCAACCTTATAAATCCATTGGGCCCCCCTTTGTTTAGTTATAACTCATCATACAGTCTCAGGGCTTTGATAAAAGCATGTATGTAAGACGGTTTTACAGAGGTTAGTTCTAACTAACTTCGGATCAAAGTTTATAGTAACGGTTGTCGTCTTAAAAATAATGAAACTAATGAAGTTTTCTGATGTTTTCCCATTTTCTCACAGAATATGCATTCGCCGTCGTTTCTTAGTTTCAGTGACGAATGAAAATTCTGTGGGGAAACAAGGGAAACACTAGAACAACTCATCACTGAGTGCACAAAGTCGACAACCATTCGTTTCATAAACTTTGGTACGAGTGATATCGGAAATGGAGAACCAATGTAACTCTCTCAGATCCTGGCATCTGTCAAAGTCCTCAGAATGTTTGATGAGTTATAGCTCAAGAAAGAGATAAACAAAGGATCTATAAGGTCGCGGTGATTATCTTCCTCCCTCCGTAGGAGGTCTGCATCTACTGATAAGCAGCATTTGTGGAATCAGAAACAACACCAATTGAATAAAGAATGAAAAAAAACTTTATAATAGTATGGGCATAAATGACACAACCTCATTACACAGAGCGTCCGAAATTCGAAGTTAAGACACTATAAGGGATATAAAGAGGTATAAATGAGGTCAAATTATAACAAAACTGCACAATTTTATAACGATTAAAATGACAGATTCATCCGTATTTATCTGGTGATAAATTCTGAAGAAAACAAAATATTTATAAATAAATTCGACTTGATCATTATCAGTTTTTTTTTCAATCCACTATTTTGTAGAAGAAATATTAAGGCAGCAAAGAACATATCCTTCGGATGCTTGATCTTCGGACAGCCAAGCCGTGCTAAAGGCTAAACTCTAAATACACTGGGTGAACGTAGGAATATTACGTGAGTACCAGGTCACGCGGGTTACAAGGGTAATGAAAAGGCAGATGAAATAGCATAACAAGGCTCATCAATGCTATTTGTAGGCCCAGAACTGCTCTGCGAAACTTCAAAAGCAGTTTTTAGACTGGTCACAATACAATGGGCAGCCAACAAATCTCTAGAATGGTGGAGAAACTCACTACTGCAGAGACAAGCAAAAAAGTTTGTAGTAGAACATCGCCAAAATTCACGGCAGACCTGATAAGCAAAAACAGAAAGACCGTCAAAGCTGTGTACTGGGTCGACTAACAGGGCATTGCAAGCTGAATAGGCATATAGAGCTAATAGGGTTAATAGACGAAAAAATGTGCAGTTTCTGCCAACCTGAAAAAGAAAAGATGCTCTCTGTAATAGGCAATGATAGACCATTGAGAGAGCTATATGGAGGTTTTAGAGGTCAGTTTCTCAAAAGGTCCTCATGGATCAGGCCGAGAGCCACCTCGAAGAATCTAATCTAATCACCTTTTTTCATCAAAATGGTGTTATTAAATGTCACTAAGAATTTTCAGTTTTTACTTAAAAATATAATTTTTATCCATCTTTAGTACTCAATAATATACGATATCGAACACCCTAGTTATTAATCTAGATTTAACTCACAATTCCGACACGATAATCGCGCAGTCGAGTGTGTAACCGACTTAATAAACACGGACCCCGCCCCCCTAACCACCAGCCTTTCCCACTGATGCCTACCATCGCGAACCGAGAGCATTTACCATGTTTTGATAACAATCGGAGTGATCCACGACCCGACGGTGTTTTGTTTCCGTTGCGAGCGCGCCGCGTTTAATAAGCTTTTGTTGTTGTTGATGTTGTGATGTCGGCCTCGTATATATTATGTGTGTACCTACGACACGCGTCCAGTGGGAACAGGGCTTAACCGCAATTTCGCGATAGGCATCTTCCGAACGGGACATAATGGAATAATAGAGATTATTTATGGTTAGAGGAGTCGAGCCATGGGAACCGTTTACACAGAGGGTTGAGATATAGGTATATTGGATCCGAGATTATTGGTATTTATTAACTTAGTTAGAAAACTTATGCCGATGACAAAGATTAAAATGATAGGCGAGTTAACAAAAAATGTTAAAGTTAAAAAATCGCTTTGTTAGCAATAGGAATTGGCAATATTAGCACCTCCAGTTTAAAGGTATCGAAGTCAACGAGAGGAACCGGTAAATTCAAAAGACTGTCCTTAATCTTTACCTATGACCTTCTGCCCGAAACAAAGATCATCAACTAATTTCTAGCCAAAAAAACTATTGCATATCTTTCAGTCAAACATAATACATATTTTTCAAAACAAAAATCTTGTTAATCGTCTTTTAATGTAATAACTAGTGGAGGTTTCTCAGTAAGTGTACCTAAATGTACAAAAAAACTAATATTTTAATTAATTATATTTATCTTAAAAACTTCGTATCATATACTTGAAAGTTATGCATAAAAACTTTGACGAATTTCTTATCTACCACCTAAACCTATCTGTTAATTTTTAAAGGAATCTCTCAGTCGCTCTATTCTGAACATGCGTAAACCTTTCATGCCAAACCTCTCATCTCATTTGGTCTACCGCATTCGCCTAATCGGAGTGTTCACTGTTCATTGGAATTTTAGAACAAACCTTTGCCGCCCGTACCCTTCATTGATATGATACCAGCGTTCCATTGGGTCTTCTTATTTCACGATCTACTAAATGATTACCTGACGATCTACTAAATGATTAACCTGCAATACATTTTAAAGAAAATAAATTTTACAAGATGTGATTTTAGTTAAATTTTAAAATAAATTAAGATCCTTGATTTGCAGCTTTAAATTAAAGATTTCGTAGTCCAAAAAGTGTAATCTTTGGGCATGATTGAGAAACAATTATGAAGGTATCTATTGAAGCACGCGCCATGTCATTGATAGTAACCAAATAGATTTTATATTTTTCGAAACAAAATTCTTATCAATTGTCTGTAATAAAAATATTTATACGCTGTCTCGCGAGGCTCTTACCTCCTTTCAAGAACAACCAATATTTTTTTGCAGATTTAAATCAAGAATACCTTGACATTCCATTCGGGAGATCGCCGGGTACGCCGGGTCTCCACGGCTCGAACCAGAGGACCAAGAGGATGAGGACCTCGTTCAAACACCACCAGCTCAGGACGATGAAGTCGTACTTCGCGATTAACCACAATCCAGACGCCAAGGATCTGAAGCAGTTGTCGCAGAAGACCGGGTTGCCGAAAAGAGTACTACAAGTAAGTGTTTTTAATTTAATTAGGATTTCTAATCAAAACAGCGAGAAATGGCTTGCTAATTTGGCTGGAACAGTGACGGCGGTAGTTTTTTTCTTATGGATAGTCATGGTAGTCATAGTCTGAGCTCTTAGACTGTCCTCCGAATTCAGCGACTACGTTTCATTTCTGAAGCTGAAAGTTGAGGTTGGAAAGATATAGTTTTTTTATCAAACATGACAGTTATGACATTCGCAAACAACTGCTTTTCTAATCAAAGGTGCCAACTATTATAATAATATATAGACTTGCGTTTATGATATAAAAAATCGTTGAGAGAAGTTTGTGGCTGTACAAGAATGTAAAAAATAATAAATTAAAAAGAAAGTATTTTACATAATTATGATTTCAGAAACTAATCAACTTCAAAGTGGGTGGACCACCACTGTAACCAATAAACAGTTTTTATTAGTTCGTTTACTGGATACATGAAAGAAACAAATTATTAATTAGCACTTTGTTTTATTGTGTAAAATAAACATTACTTTTTTTATTCTAGATGTAATAACTATTTATTAAACTTAACTTGTATTAAGCTCTTCCGAACGACCTTGCAAGGAACAGGGCTCCATATACAAGGCCAATATTATAAATCAGAAGAATTTAATTTAAAGCTAGAGTTGTAATAATCAAAATATCCGCTGATACTAAAACTACATAAAAAGCTCTTTCATTTAACCTTTCGGCGGTCGCGCTTTATTTTTTACACGAAAGATCGCGCGCGGACTCTGAGACCGTATGCTAAATTCGAGAGATCTTAAGGGTTGCTAGTGGTGTAAAGACATAAAATAATATAATAATCAAAATAAAATCTATTTAATGACTTGCTTCGTTACAAATGGCAAACATAAACATAAAAAATATAACATAAAACACGTAAAACACAAACTAATAAATATTATTCAGAAACAAAATATATAATAATGAAAAAATCAAACCGTATAACAGATTACAGAACATTTGTATGTGCTCAAAATATACGAAATTGTGACGCTGTACACAAGAGTAACGAGTTGGTCTGTTTTCCGCCATCATCACATTTCTGTAGTGCCGATTTTCTGGTAATACTGTATTCAGTGCTTCAGAATCTGAAATTTATTTTTCTGTATCAGAATTTATTTCGGGCCCTTGCCTTTCTATAATATCCACTTCTCTTTCTTTCATGTCATGGTCAATGGTCATGTTCAGTGGTTAATTCGTCATCTTCGTTCAAACAGTCTTGCATGAGCTGTTGCAATCGTTCTTGCTCTGTCTCATATGAGTACATGTAAAAAATAATAATTATTTAATAACAAAATGTCGAATATTTACTATTTTAATCACAATTTGCTCATTTTCAATTAAAAATAATCAGTAAAATAACTTATCTTACACGATATTATAAAATTATTTATGTAAAAAGAATATCACAAACGGTCGCGCGTGGAATAACACTCCGCATATGAGTATAAAAAGATAGTAACTACAATAAACGATGTGCAAACGTACATTTCTCATAAAATAGGCAGAGACAGGACTATATATTTCCATATTTTCATGATCTGTAAATGTTCCTAGTAAGGCCCATGAACCAACCAAGCAAGGCCAACCGTCAATTTTTTGACTGGCCTTATAAGGAACCGCCGGCTTTCATAGGAACACTACCAAACTGTTTTAACTGTAATAAGAGCAACATTATTATTTTTTTCTTTAGTACTATAACAAATATCTATATGACAATTTACAGTAAAAAAAAAAGATAGTAATAGGTTATTTACATAAAAACTTACCTTTTCCTGTGCGCGCGAATTACAATTCTGAGTCGACGTCATACAGGTAACTGATCCCTTGGGCCTACATCAAATTAGTTTACTGGAATTATATTTTACATGACTTTTCTCCGATTTAATATAAACCCAAGTTGGCCCAAATTGAAGTCTTGACAATAGAGTGAAATAAAATCGTTCTCTGTAATATGATAACAATTGTTATTCAGTGCCTTCCATATTTCTCCCTCTCTCTATCTCTATTCAGGACATCCCATTTTTTACCATCTCCATCTCACTCCTACCTACGTCATCAACGTATATACCTTCACGGCCCCAATTAATCAAGAGCGCCGCGCTATACGACCGACGGCACAGATTAGCCGCCGTCTGGAACCGGTGCGCGCGTTCGTTCTCTTGATAAATGCCACGTTTGTCCGGATAAATGTAGCGTTCGGGCGCATCCAGCTTGATATATTATTTCCGAGGGGTTGTTTTTTACCGCCATTCGTCTTGCCCGAGCCGCAGAGGCTCGGGTCCGCCTAATAAACGTCTGGATCTGGCCTCTAATTAGGGATGATCTCCGCGCGCAGCTTTTTTATTTATTTTTATTAGTGTTTTTTGTTCGAGTTTGTTTTTCGTCCATGGTTTCGTTCGGCTTTGATTTCTCGTGTTCTAATTTTGGTCGAGTGTTTTTCTTGCTGACGAGTACAACTTTGTTGGTCTGTAGGATATGCAATCTGTTTTTATTTTAGAAATAGGAATTTTTTATCGGTATTGCCTTTAGAGTGTTTTAAGTTATTTTTTTGTCCACACAAAAGGATAGATACATTTGCTAAATTTCAAGATTATTGCTCCATCAACCTTTTTCTCGTTTGTGCAGCATTTGACAATTTTTTCACGAAATTTACTGTTTTAGTAACTCGACTATCAACCACCATTGCAATTATGCAATTACTTCCGGCTCAGATTAAATCAGATTTTTGAGATGGTTGTCGGCCTGTTCCGTTGCGACATTTTTAGATCTATTGTAGGTTCTCCTCTGATCCCTAGATGTCATTTTCTAGTCATATTTTTCTTTAAAAGTCTAATAGCATGGAGACTGAACTCTCCTTATAGCTCTTTATCAATGGCCTATCATGCCCTAGTACAAAGAATCGCACATTTACCAAGCTGTCGTAGTGACATGTAAAATGTAGATGAGTGTATGGGAGGGGGGGAGTTAATTACCGCGACCTTACAGATCTATTCTGTTCCCCTTTCTTGAGTTACATAATGAATTATAACTCATCATACAGTTTTTCTCGGCCATATCATGAGAGGTCCAAGGTATGAGATTTTGCTCAACTCATAATCCAGGGAAAAATTGTAGGAAAAAGATCTGTTGGAAGGAGAAGAATATCCTAGCTCAGAAACTTGCGAAAATAGTTTGATGTCACGTCATCTGACCTATTTAGGGCCGCAGCTTCCAAGGTCAAAATAGCAATGATGATAGCCAACCTCCGATATGGAGACGGTACATAAAGAAGAAGAAGATACAGTTTCAGGGCTTTGAAAAAAAAATAGTATCTGAGACGGTTTTACAGAGGTTAGTACTCCATCTGCAATATCAGTCACAGTGATATAAAATGTGTTCAGTCGTTTCTTCTTCAGCTTGACAGAATCTGCACATTACTTCGTTTGTCAATCCTATCAACTTTATGTGTCTATTAAGCTACCCTGCCCAATACCTTGTTAGAAGATACAATCAACTTGACAGCATTTCTGTCTTTCCTTATCTGGTCTGTCGTAAATTTTGCAGAATGTTCTACTATAAACTTTTTTGCCTGTCTCTGTCCTGGAGAATTTCTACACCATTCTAGAGGTTTGTGCGAACCCACTGTTTTTCCAACATTCTTCTGACTGCTTTTGCACGGCGCGGCGTCGCAGTAAGCTTCTGGACCTATGAATGGCATTGCTGAGCATTGTTTGTCCATTTTATATGAATTTTCGTTGTCTATCCTTCTGACCATCGTGCCCTGGTATACAGGCTAACGTAACATTGCTCCGCTCACCTAATGTATTTAGAGCAAGCATACAATTCAACACTAGGTAGAGTGAATTACATAATATATAAATGTAAAATACCAAAGAATTTAAAATAAAACGTTTTCCACCATTATTTTTTACCTCTAATGGCATACGATATGAAAATGTTAGAGCATTTAGAGGGTTATCTCTATGGATGAAACATAGAGTCTTGGACAATCTGGGTTATAAGTGGCAGTGTTCGTATTTGAAATGAGAAGATTTGCAAATGGACAAAAATAACTGACATCATAGTGACAATATACAGGGGTCTTCACAGAATATTCAAATATATTTAGCCAAAGATGAAGAAGAAAGATGGCCTGCGTCTTATGCTGGTGATTACATTTAACAAAACTCCAATTTGTCTTACACCGAATGGCTGAAACCAAAATGTTCAAACTTTTACCAGTGTATCAGCATTATATTTACCTTTGTATGATATATAGATGAGGGTTTTTCAATTTTTAATTTAAAAAGAAGTTAAAAAACAAATAAGTTACCTACAAATTGATTGAAAAATCATCATAATCGACCCATAGGAACAAAATACAATTAAACTTTAAATTTAAAACACATGAAAATTTTAAGATGTCCATTTTTAGAGCCGATCATTGTATCTTGATATTGTATCTTGGTACAACTGACAATAAATCTACAATTTGTACGGTGAATGTGAAAACGAAATTTCAGTGCCACAGGCGCTCAAAATCGCCCGTAAATTCCATGTTTACGTTCCACGCGGAGCATATTTACCAAACAACCGTTAATTCTAACCGCTCCATTCATAAATAACCGCAGAAATCCGATACGGGCACACGGGAAACGCCACCGCCACCGCATCACCAACCACGTGTTTTCAATTTTGGGTTAACCTGAGCGCAACCATTTCGGTTTAACTTCCTTTCTCTTTTTTTTCAGCGAGTTCAGATTTTTCCCTTTGGAATTTTGAAATGCTGACAAATTTACTTTTATTTTTTTAGGTTATCATTTATTTATTTTTTTATTCATTCATTAAGACAGGAGTAACCCAATTTTATAAAGATAAATATTAATAATTAGTCAAACGAACAGCGATTTTGACAATCGCTGTCACTAACGAAACCGGTCACTCATAAACAATTTTATAGTGGTTAGTTTTTGTCAATTACA